CAACATAGGTGCACTCGCATGTATCAGCAAGCGATACTTAGACACACAAAATAAAAATAGTAGCCGGGCATGGTGGAGCACTTGGGAGGCAGGGACAGGCGGATTTTTGTGAGTTTGAGGCCAGCCTGGGCTACATAGTTCCAGGACAGGTGGGGCTACAGGGAGACCCTATCTCAAAAAGACAAAAAATAAAAAATTAAAAATAGTAGATATTTTTTAAAAAATAATGAAAATTACAATGAAAACACGGGCTGTGAGATGGCTCCATGAGTACAGCTACTAGCCACCAAGCCTGCTGGCCTGAGTTCAATCCATGGGAACCATATGGTGGAAGGAGAGAACCAACTCCAGCAAGTTGTCCCCTGACCTACATGCATGCACGCACTCCCCCCCATCAATAAATGTAATGAGCTGCTCAAAATTTAATCAAAAGTACCCTAGCTAATCAATCATGGCACACCTGTACACCTTGGCGGTCAGTGGCAATCACGGCACACCCGTACACCCACCACCCAAGCCAACCAAGACAGCTGCTGTCCTCCCTTTGCTTCCACTGGCTTAGAGGACCCCACAATGGCCGCTACGCTAATGACTTAGCTTTCCTTTGTCTTTTCACCAGCTTCTTGCATGTCTCTAAATTTACAGCTTAACTTTGAACTGAAGCTTTACTAGTGCAAGCAAAGAACATGCATGGGGGTGCATGAGTTGTGGCTCAGTGTAACAATGCAAACATGTGAGCATGTCACACACTCATTTGTTACACTAATAAAAACTAAAATAAGCCCAACCATGGTGGCTTATGCCTGCAAGACCACACTTGGGAGGATGACAGTTGACGGTCCCAGATACAAACACACACAATTTCCTTCACTAGGCGGAGAATGATTTTGTGGTCTTCTTAAAGACAATGCTCCAATTGCCTCTACTCTAACTCTCCTTTACTTGTTCTAAACATACAAGCAACAAGTAAATCCTCATGAGGCTCTCCTTGGCCAGGCATGCTCTCGCTCACCTAAAAACCAGCACTGAGGCACGAAGATCAGGAGTTCCTCGGCAGCCTCGATTACACTATATAGTCCCAGGCCACACTGAGACCAAGTCTCAAAAAAAAAACAACAAAAGGCTTTTATTATGTACAGGGTAGTGTTTCACTGTAAGACAAAGTTTACAGTACCCTTTTATAAAGGCAGAAAAAGGCACTAAGAGGTGGGTTTATTTGCCCAAGACCACACAGTAAGTGACTATAGACTCAAACTGCAGCCTAAGACCCAAGTCCTAACACAAAATTATCAGTCAAGGAAAAATTACAGATGTAAAATATACTGTTATGGCAACTGTAAAGTGAAAATGGAAACTGCGTGACACTAGATTTGAGATTTTAGTGCCTCACTGGCCTCGCCAACAACTAGCCATTGCAAACAGTAAAGCACACAAGGTGCACGGCTGCAGACAGACCTGTGTAAAGACTACCCCAATGTGGGTTGTAGGTATCCTACTTAGAAGGCCTATGTTATATTCTATTATGCTCTTAATAAAAATTCCCCAGCCTTGATGAGTCAGTCCAGTGGGCATTTATTTTAAATTAAGGCCCTACTGAGTCCAATACCTTAAACAACTTATCAGTACTAATATGTAGGGCTAAGACATTTTTGGGAATTAACAAGTATGGACAGTAAAAAGCAGCAGCAATCACTTAATCCAGTTCTGTCATTTTAGGTCCAACTGCAGGAACCCTAGAAGTGCTGACCCAGAGCAACAGACTCATTTCTGTTCAATGAGTAAAAGACTATTTGTGTTAGAGCAAGGACTCCTGACTTCTTCATATTATGCATCTGCAAACGGAAAAATAGTTATAGACTGCTAACAAGATAAAGGCGGATGGCTGAAGTCCACCTCCACCATCCTCCCTTCTATCCCTCTTCTTTGCCTTTCAAAATCTAATAACACTAATGCATCTGACTCTGCAAATATTCAGCACCTACTGTGTGCGAGGCATTGTCTAAGCAGCAGTGATATAAGATGTCTGCAGAGAAAACAAACACCAGTCTGGCACTAGGCTTACAGCCTAACAGTAGAGGCTTGGGGCACAAAACATAGTATCTATGGAACAACATGCCGTACACGAGATTTTAAAACTTTTCCACAGAGGTAATTAAAGCTTACAGGTACGACTGAGGGCAAGCAGGATTCTGATAAAAGAACAACTACAGGAAGATATCAGACATTTCAACATGGGACCAGTGGGCTGGAGATGTAGATGTGTGGTAGAGTGTTCACCTAGCAGGCACAAAATCCAGGGTTCAATCCCCAGAAGAGAAAAAGCAAAGCACAAGAACAGCAGAAACTATCAGAAGTACCTGTGTACACGATTTGCTCAAAGAACAGTATCCAGTTCAGCTGGATCGTTATCACAGTAGCAAAGAGGGAGGAACCAATTTCAAGATATGTCACATTTTCCAGGCTAAAATGCTAAATTTAGTTTCTAATCCTGTGGCTACAATGATCCGTTGAAGATTTCTGAGAAAAATGACAAACCAGGAGCGTGTCTGAGATTAACTTAGAAGAAAACACAGGCTCCAAGTGGGAATCATTTGAAGTTACCACAACCCAGACAAAATGGAATGAAACCGGACAAAGGGGAAAACAAGTAGAGAAGATGAAGGCTTTAGTGGTCGAACGGTCAATCAGGATATCCTGACAGCTGGCTGGCTGCAAAGGGGAGCACTAGACAGTTGCAGCCACTAATGGGAAAGAAATCCAAGGATGTATCATTAACAGAAAGCAGGCACTCTGGACTAAAGGCAGAGCTAGAGGCAGCCCATTTAAAGATTGCCATCTAAATAAATGGGGCCATGTATTAATCTTATTATACATCAGAAAAGCAAAGCTCCCTTAATAAAATAAACACAATAGACAAAAACATGCAAGCTACAGTTTGCCAAAATCCTCAAATCAGTGTCATTTGAAAACAATGTATATGTATATATATATTTGTTAAGACACAGGTACTAGAATAAGTCACAGTTTTTACTAAAGTATACATATCAAGTCTTGACATCTTAAAATGCTAGGAAAGTACTGTATACTACAATAATATTTACCCTCAGAAAATTAATGAATGAGGAACAAAGTGAAGCTACTAGGTACAAAGAGACAAGAACTATAATCTACCATACATATATCATGGATGTGTGTATCATACACTATGCTCAGTTTGAAAACTCAATTTCTCCTGATTAAGTAAAGCCTATGTGGTCTTTTGCCACATAATTAACAAGCAAGCGATGAGTTCCTTGAGGGTAGATAGTTTACATTCTAGACACCACACACCCTCAGTGTGGAGAATTTAGGACACCTCTGATAAAGAGAATAAGCAGAAGTCAACCAAGGACCCAGAACAACATTGGTAACTTGGTATTACACAGCAGTGCAGCATTAGAGAGCCGGTATCTGGTATCTGAGTGCCTACTACCCAACAGGTTAGGATTATGGTTAGGGAGTTATAAAATCAGTAATATCTGACTCTTCCCTGGAAGTTAGGATTTATTCCTGTAAACAAGTTGGACAGAAAACCAGTAACACTAATTGTGTGACTATCACTGAATCTCTCAAACTCCTAAATTCTTTTAGGTTTCTGGTTTCTTATGAAAAAAGGGATGAGGAACACACCAGAAAACTAAACGACAACCAACAGGCCAGTGGCACTCTATAGGACTCACCACACTGATCACACGCCCATTGACAGCCACTACCACCTTCAAAGACCCTCAAGACAGCACTCCTCAGACAGCAGGGGACCATAAGCTTACCAGGGACAATACAATCTAGACAAGACTTGAAATCCTCACTAGACAAGTTTTTAAAAACCAGAAGTACATATTTTTATTTCTTTGACTCTATTTGGAAAAATTCCTACGGTAATTCCAGACAGAATAACATTAAAGCACAAACATTAAGCATCTCTCAACAATGAAATTAGGCAGGTCCTTTGTTGGACAAACAATGCCTCTTACCAACTAAGATCATGTCAAATGAGTGCAAGACATGGACAATTCCAAACTTTATGGATAAATCCTGAAGCAAATTAGCAAGCTTCTATCAAAAACGAAGTCCCCCAGAAAATAAGCTATATAATCATAGTACTGTCTTTTGTTTGTTTGTTTGTTTTGCCTTTTGGAAGCAGGGTCTCCCTGTAGCCCCAGCTGTCCTAGAATTCACCACTATGTAGACCAGGCTGTCCTTGAACTCAGAGATCCGCCTGCCTCTGCTGGGACTACAGGTGTGCGCCACCACGCCCGGCTAGTACTGTTTTCTTATCCTTGAAAGACAATAAACAATTTGAGCCAGTGCTTCAGCAAACATGTCAATTGATACCACAGTCCTGAGTACCCAAGTTCAAAAGAACCTCAGTCTTCTCATAAAAAGTAAAGATGTTGTCAAGAATATTTCTGAAGGGTTGGAGAGATGACTGCTCTTGCAGAGGACTTGGGGTTGGTTCCCAACACCCATATGATGGCTAACAACCATCCAGGGGGGCTCCAACACCCTCTTCTGGCTTCCACAGACATTGTACGCATGGGTGCACTTACATGCAGGAAAACACACGTAAAATAAAAATACCATAAATTGAAATTTTTTATTTGAATTTCTGAGCTAAGTGTTGATAGGACCTGTTTCTATTTAATTAGCTTTAAACATCACACAAACACGAAGATCCAGTTACCTGCATGTAGAATTCATGCAACAAGGAAACCTTAATCATACAACCCTCAGAGCATTCACTGCTCCTTTAAACCCAAGGGGGGGGGGGATCACATAAATAAAGAGATTCAAGACGTTTTTAGAAAGGTAAATTTTAAAACTATTATCCCACGTCTTAGACAATAAACACAAAACATTCTCAAAGTATGAGGCTCAGTTCAGATCCGAAACAATCCTTCAGTATCCCAGACTTTTCAAGAATCAATATTCAATCTGTCATAATTAAAACACTTTCTTACCTTCTGCTACATCATCATCTACTGCTCCTTTCACCTGAGAAAAACACCACTGAATATCATTCCCTCCTCCAGCTCCTGGAAAAGAAAACACAGTAATTAAAACTGAGCTCTGTTCATGTTTACTCTCATAAACACAGAGATGGTATCCACAGCTGGCACCATCCTACCCAGCCTAGTACTGCCCACATACACAACCACCACGAAGCCCTTAATAGTGCATTAAAAACAAGGTCCCAAGTGTGAACTGCTTAAAGGCACACAGTCCTTCATGATCGCCATCCATCCAGACAAGAACTCTTCCAGGTTTCCTCCCCGTAGAAGACAGTAAGAGCCTTACATTCAAGCAAGATCTACCAGAAAAAGTAAATACCCAAAGTAGAGTTATGAGGCTGAACTACCATGAAACAGAGAACGAAGAGAAAACTTCGGGAACATGACTGCGTGGTGGAGTAATGATTCATGGGAACCCTATCGCCAAAGTGCACTCAGCAAACACAACACCCATTTCTTGGCATTCATTAGGAGCAAATCACTGGCTGCAGCCAGAGAGGAAAAGGAACGGAAATGAATGCTGCTCAGAAATGGTCAGAGGAAGCTTGTTCTTGTTCTGCTGCCCTTCACCTAACCAGGAGTCAGTCCAAAGGGCCCCAAAGCTTTGCTGGTTTTCCATCATCCCGCACAAAACAGTTTCAATCATCACTGTACTGTCCGTCAAGGTCAAAGGCCAACTTGTTCATACAGCAAAGTGTGAGTGAACCCCAACTTTTCGGGGGGGTGGGGGGGGAACGCGGGACAGGGTCTCCCTGCAGCCCCAGCTGGCCTGGAACTCACTATGCAGACCAGGCTGGCCTCCTCCTCACAGAGATCCACCTGCCTCTGCCTCCCCAGATTAAAGGCGTGGGCTACCACGCCCGGCTCCAACATAACTTTATAAAAGGTCTATTACCTGTGTAAACAGTGAAAAGACAAGGAAAATTGGTTTAATCTCAGAATGTCTTTCACTGCCCAGCACCGAAGAGAAAATGGAGGAAGAAAAAAAAACCATTTTGCTGGATTTTGCAGGGGAGGAAGAACGAGAATCTAAAGCTAGAATCGTTCATTCTGCTAGTTTATAGTATCTGCAAGGCCTAAATGTACAGAGATTTTTTTTAAAGGCCTTTTTACCTTCCTCTTCTTTCACCCGATTCCTTGCTAAATTATTCCCAAACTGTTTTCCCTCTGCACATCCCCCCTTCCCCTCCCCCCTGCAAGCTTTTACGAAATCTCTCTCCGCTTGGCTATTTATATCACTGAACTCCACAACTATTTTAACTAACTCCTCGAAACCCTTTTGGGAAAAGGACATCTGCAAAAACGCTACTGTGCAAAACGGAAAGTTTAAATTACCTTCTTTTTTCCCCCCCTCGTGCAACTTCTATTAAAGGCCTACCACTCCTGAGTGGCAAAGAATAAGACCCGGAAAAGGGACCAATCGAAACGCAATTCAGCCCGGCACCCTCCAAAACAGACATGACCCAGTGTGTGTGTGAGACAGGGGACGTGGGGGGGGGGGCGGGGGCGGGGGTTAGACCTAAGCCGTCACTGCATTTTAACTTGCAAAGCGCCCTTCCTTCTCAACGCAGGGTGGGTTTCTGCAGCCCCCGAGGCAGGCTTGCAGCAGACGGGAGAGCCAGGAAATGCAGCTCCGTAGGAGAAGCGCTCTCCGCACACCGGCACCCCGCCCCACCCACACCTCGGCCACCGCGGCCCGCAAGCTGCCCACTCCGCCCCACCCGTGCCGGTGTCGGCGCCCAGGCCTGCGTCGGGCCTCCCCGCCCGCAGACCGGGCCAGCGCCCCACGCCGCCGGTCGCTAGGGGGGGACGGAAGGAGCGCGGAGGAAGCGGCGCCAGGGTTGCGGGCCAAGGCCCGTTTCTCCTTTACCTGCCATGTCGCGCAGCAAATGATGACCCTGCCGGGCTCCTCGGGGTCTCCGCGACCGGGGCTCAGCCCCCTCACCTGGGGATGGGGGGGTCGCGGGCGCGGATGGCGGCGGATGGCACCTGAGGGGGGAAGGGACGGGGACCGGGGCGGAAGGGAAGCCGGCCGGGCGGAGCGGCCGGCAGGATGGTGGCTTTCACTCCGGGCGTCCCCGCTCCTGCTCCTTCTTCCGCGGCGACAGCGGCAGCGGCGGCGGGATCACCAGCGGCGGCAGCGGCGGCGGCGGCGGCTACGACAGCGACGGCGGCCGCGGCGGCAGGGGCAGGCGACTCCACTTTCAAAATGGCGCCGGCTGGGTGGCCGGTGACGTCACTGGGGGCGGTGCGCCTGCGGGGAGGGGCCAAGTTGGGATGGTCACGCCCCCTTCCTGCCTTGCTCTGGCCCCGCCTTGCTCTGCCCGCTGCGACCCTGGCCCCGGGTCCCTGGGCGGGTGGCTTTGGGTCCTGGCAGCGCCAGCTCTGCCCGCTGGGTCCAAGCCGGCCGCGGCCTGGCCTGTCTGCACCTCTCGCTTTCCCGAGCTCTTGCACCAGGGCTGGGACTCATCTGTCCACTTAACATGCTCATCCACTTGGGGTTGTTGGAGCCCTTGGCTCTTTCTGGCGAATATCTCTCTTGCTGCCCCAGTGACCCTCGAAGTGAGCCCCGGGCCACTGAAATAAAGAGCCGGTGATGCAGACTGGCTGCCTGGCCAAGGTGAGAGTTCACGGAGCCCAGAAGGACGTAACTGGGCTGGCTCCATCTCTCATGGGTGACAGTTGTTGGCTGCCGCGAGCCTGAAGAGTGGTTTCAGACAGAAACTTGAGTTTGTGAGCGGGTCATAGCTCAAGAAGTGGCCCAGGTCTATTCCATTAAAAGCGGTTAAATCGGTGTTATTAAGAGCTAGATTCTGTCAGGGAGCGGCACATGCCTGTAATCTTAGCATTTGAGAGATGGGTGCAAGAGGATCCAGCACTCAAGCTATCTGGGCTACACAGTGAATTTGAGGCTAGCCTGAGCTACATGAAGCTCTGTCTCAAAAAAAAAAAAAGGACTGGCAAGATGGCCCAGCAGGTAATGGTGCATGCTGCCAAGCCTGAGGACTCAAGTTCAATCCCCAGAACCCAAAGAGAATCGGCTCCCACAAGTTGTCCTCTGACCTCCTAGCAGCACCTACACAGATACACACATTCACAGACCAAATAAAGAGCTCGACCCAGTTGTCAGGTGCCACATGTCTCCCAGACTCATGAGATGAAGATAAAAATCTTGTAGTTTTGAGGATAAAATGTATAAACAGTACATATTAGCTGCTTTCATTATTAGAGTTGTATTGATAGCATCTATTTAGAAGTCAGAGATAAAGGGATGGAGGTTGGGAGGACAGTGTCATTAGCCAAAATGGGCTGTACAAGGATACTGGGGGTGGTAGACATAGTTCAGTTGGTAGGGTATTTGTCTATCATGCACAAAGCCCTGGGTTCGTTCTCCACCACTGAATAAGTCTGGCATGATGGTGCACACCTCTAATCCCAGCACACAGGTCAAACAAAAAATTAAAAATTAAAAAAGAAATCCATTTAAATGTAACCTCTTCCAGGTAGGCTTCTCTGACAATTCCTCTCATTCCCTACTCACCTTAGTTGGGTTGGATGCCCTTACTTAATAGTCTCACAAAGTCTAATGCATTCCTCTGTATTAGACTGCGTTAAAATGATTTAAATCTATACTTGTCACTACCCTGAGTTCTTTGAGGCTAGGAAATACATCGTCCATCTCCATATCACCAGCCACATAATTTGTTGGATTAATGGATGAATAAATAAATCTTTCTGGCTTGGGAAGAAAAACCACTGAAATATTGGCTCCTTAAAGTTTGCTGTATCGTATGTACTTTCACTCTTCTTAACTCTGAAGGAAAGGGATGTTTTACAACCAGGCATGATGGCTCACGCCTTTAGTCCCAGCACTCAGGAGGCAGAGGCAGGTGGATCCCTGTGAGATCGAAGCCAGCTTGGACTGTATAGTGAGTTCCAGGCCAGCTGGGACTACAGGAAGACACTGTCTCAAACATACCAAAACAAAAAAAACAGGCATGATGGTGCACGCCTTTAATCCCAGCACTTGGGAGGCAGAGGCAGGTGAATCTTTGTGAGTTCAGGCCAGCATGGTCTACATAGCAAGTTCCAGGCCAGCTGAGACTAACAGAGAGACCATATCTCAAAAAGAAAAAAAAAACCCCAAAGAGACATTTTTACAAATCATCTTGATAGCTACATTAAGCAACAGCTTAGTAGATGTACAAGTTGTCTATGCATAGATTTGTCCTACACCCACTTGGGTTCATCCCTGATTACGTATTATTAAGGGGGTTCTGTAGGGCACTGTTTCCTTGTCTGAACAGGATCATGAAAGCTTTTTTTGTTGGTTGGGTTTGGGTTTGGGTTTTGGTTTTTTGAGTCAGCATCTCAGTTAGCTCAGGCTGGCCTCAAATTCCTGATCCTCCTGTCTCTTCAATGACCCTGGTACTGGGATTACAGGTTTGTCTCGCCACACCTGTAAGCTTTTTATCATGTTAGCCTCTAGCCACAACTTCAACATTTGACCACATGGTCACACAGGATAACAGTTCCTTGCAGAATTGAGCTCGTCTTAAGCACATTAAGATGAAAATTCTCTCAGGTTTTTTACGATGAAGTTCTATAAGACATGAAAGCATTTTGCTTCAGGTCTGAGCCAAGAAGCATTAAAAGAACCCACAATCTCCAATAGACTGGAGCGAACATGTCTCACTCGGGGTTACTGTTAGGTAGCTTATAAAAGTCTGTTACACAGAGCTGGAAAGATGGATCAGTGGTTAAAGCACATACTGCTCTTGCAGAGGGCCGTAGTTCCGTTCCCAGAACCCACATCAGGTGGCTCACAACCACCTATAACTCCAGCTCCAGGGATTCTGGCACCCTCTTCTGGACACACAGGTGTCTGCCCTCATGTGCACATATCCATACACAGACACGCACATATGCACATAATTTTAAAAATAATAATTAAAACATGAATCTTTAAAAGTGTATTACAGAGCCGGGAGTGGTGGTGCAACACCTTTAATGCCAGCACTCGGGAGGCAGAGGCAGGAGGATTTCTGTGAGTTGGAGGCCAGCCTGGTCTACATAGCAAGTTCCAGGCCAGTGGGGGCTACAGGGAGACCCTGTCTCAAGAAGACCAAAAACCAAAGAAGTAGAGGCACTCTTGAGCAAGCTCTGTCCTTCAGGCAGTTACATAATGAACATGAATTTAAGGGTTGGAGAAGACACCCCCAATACCACATTTGAAGCTGGCACAGTGGCCACTGTAATCCCAGCTGCTAGAGAGGCTAGAGGTGGGGCGCTTTTGAGCTAGTGACCAATCTAAGCAACATGTGGAGACACCAACTCAAAATCAAAAACAAAAGAAATTAACCTGTTTTAGAACCAAGCATAGAAGTGCACATCTGTAATCTCAACATTTAGGAGGTGGAAGCAGGAGGATCAGGAGTTCAGGGTCATCCTGTACTACATGGTGAGTTAGAAGCCAGCCTGGGCTACATGAGACACTGTCTGATAAAATGAATGGGGGGGAGAAAGAAAAACATTAACAAGGCTAAGGAGATGGTTCAGAGGATAAAGGACTTGCCAAGCAAGCATAAGGACGTGAGTTTAGATCCCCAGTACCCAAGTAAAAGCCAGGCGTGATGACAGCAAGCATGTTCAAGACCCTGGCACTGGAGGACTAGAGACAGTCTAGAGCTTGCTGGCCAGCCAACCTAGCTGAATCAGTCTCCTCTGAGTTCAGTGAGAGACCTTGTCTCAAAAAATAAGGTGAGAAGTGACTGAGGAAGACTCCCAGTGTCAACTGCCGACCTCCACACATACACACTCACATGTGCTTATACACATATGCCACAGGCACACACGCAAATCAACACAGCTGAGAATGCTGGCCAGCCCACTCCCAGGTTTCCAGACATGAAATTATTGCAAGGTCTCCATAGGAAAAATAAGCAGTTGTCAGCTTTTAACCTACTTCATTGCTACACGCTTGACCAGGAAGGTGATGTCTCAAAGCTCTGTAGAGTCTGCACTATAGCAGTATGAGCACCATGGTGTTCAAAATGTAGAATTCACTAAACAAAACAAAAAGTTTTCTACACAGGAAAATATTTCACAAAAACGGCAGCATTATCTCTCAGGTGGATAATGTTATGTAGTGGAATACTAGTGACGAAACAAAGGAAGTTGCTGCGCCTCAGAAACAGGATCCTAGCTGCATATACAATATGCAATACGACCTCCAGTATGTACAACAACACAAAATCTGTGGGGCTGGAAAGGACAGGAAGGAAATGCAGCAGGACATTCACAACAGAGTCTCTAGGCAGTGGCACAATGGGTTGTTATTTCCCCCTTAGACATTTGGGGTTCTCTAGTGTATGTTTAACATATACCAAGGGGAAAGAATGATCTCAATTTTAAAGGTTCATCCCAGGTGCTTAAGATGGCTCAGTGGGTGAAACCCCTTGCCATCAAGCCTGATGTCCTGAGTTTGATCCCTTAGACCCAGAGGTAGAAAGAACCAATGCCTATGAGTTGCCCTCCGACCTCCACATGTGTGTCACGGCACATGAGCATGCATTCATGTGCACATACCCACCCACAGACACACCACATGAGCACACACAAAATAAATAAAAATTTTCTTAAGAAGGGGGATTGCAATGAAGATGGATGTGACGCAGAGGCTGCTGCTGAATTTCCAGCTGTGTCGCATGCAGTACTTGCTCTCTTACCCCCCCCCACCCAAAGGCAGTCTACAACTCTGCTGCAATGTTCCATAACACCTTTCAAGATTTCCTTAAACTGTTGTGTGTGTGTTCTGAGTTCCTTTTGGCCATCCGCTGTGTTAAGCTTATTGTGTCTTGCCACTATGTACTTGCATCTAGGTTGGGGCATTCTGTAGCTTCTGTACAAAGAGCTCTTCCAAGGCCCCAGGTCTGGAGATTCTGCCTCACACTTCACCATCCTGTTGGATTTATTGGTGGCATCACCAGAACAATACTTCCCTGAGTCCTAATGCTTTATTTCTATGTTCTTAGCCAGGGGCACTTATCCTACATACTGAATCCTTTGATAGGCTTTTGCCAGATTTTCTTTCCATCAGTTTTATAGGAGCTATGGGGTCTGATAGACTCAAGAACCCAGAAATCCAGCTGGAGGTGTGGCTCAGTTGGTAGAGTCCTTGCAGAGCAGGCACAAAGTCCTGACTTTGATCCCCACGTAAAAGTGGTGGTGCACACCTAT